ATGATATAAGATAATCTTACTCTGGTGTGATTGGCTTTGAAGAGGTATTCTCGGAAAGAAGAAAACTGAGTATTTTGAGATGCTTTGTTGAAGATGCATTCTCGGAGATGAGGAAGAGTTAGGTATTCTTGCAAGTCTACCTTGTTATGGAGAACGAAGGTCGACATATATTTAGATTTTTCAATAGCAAGTAGCGGTGCTGTACCTTTACTCTTGTCAGCAACTGTGGTGTAATTAGAAAAATAAGATTTACACGTTTTCAACTTTGTCAGAGATCTTTGACAAAGTTGCACGCAATATCCGAAAAAGCTGAGAATGCGTTTAAAAAATGCCAACGAACTTTATTCAGGAAAATCTGACTTTTGAAATTCAGAGAGCGATGCCTCTTCGATCTCTGAACAAGTGGCTCTGTTGCCTCTTCTTTTATAGAGACATCAATTGTGTTCAAGAGTATGCTCAAAAAGTTGCTGCTTGTAGAAATTTTCCCCTTCTTGCACTTGTGAGATTTTATTTGACCTTATTTTTCCTTCATCATTTCTGAAAATGGCTTGCCCATCTAACATTTGCTTAGATTTGAGTCTTAGGAGTGATACAGACGAACAACGTCAGGATAATATATGGTGCCCGTCCTTCTTATCTTTTAATGGTCCTCTTACGGTTGGGGACTCTGTGATGAAGAATAACATTACCGCTATAGTGGTAGCTAGGAGTCTTCTCACTCCAAAGGATAACATAATCCTTTCAAAATGGTCTAATGAATCGGTCGTTCAAGACTCCTTGGCTCTCAGTGTTCAATGTGTGGGCTCTGTATCCAATATGGGCCAACGCCTACTTGCTCGAACTCACTAAGATGAATCATTGATGGCTGAGGTGGTAAGTCTTAAACAAGATATCAGAGGGCTCAAGCACGAGAATAGAGTGTTACACATGGTTGCAAATAATTATTCTACGAGCATGAAAAGAAAGCTTGACCAACTACAGGAATCTGAAAGTCGGATTCAAAGTGATCGCCAACGGTTTGTTGTTAGATTCCAATGGCAATTAATGCCTTCCCCTTCTGGTGTTTTGTCAAGTACTGGGGTGCCACATGATCAATCTCTAGTGCCTCCCCCTTCTGGGGTATTACCGAGTATTGAGGCTTCACATGAGCAACCTTTGTGAAGGCTTCATCCTATTTGTTTTTAACTCATGTGTATGTACATGTCTGTAATTTCTCGGAGATTTAATAGATAAGCTTTATTTCATTCAATGTATTGTGCCAAATACAATAAAGCATATACTTCACTAAGATGTGGTACTTCTGAACCAAATATCAATTTATCTTTACCCTCACAAAGATAAATGATCATTCTTAGTGTCGACATCCTTTGAGTATTTCACTCATAATCTTCAATCCATATGGTTCTTTAATATCATAAACATCATGGATAAGATTCGTGTTGACATATTGATCGATCTGCAGTTCGAGACAATATTTCTCTCAACACTTTATAATCTTTCTAGACTCTTTAGGAGTCCCAATTTAATATCATCAACTCTTGCAAGAGATTTTAGTATGTTGCAACAATATCATAATGAAAGTACTCACTAAGGCAATTTATACCATCCATTGGTATTTAAGTACATATTTTATGCATTACCCTTCTGGGGCTTACTTCAAGCAATTTGAATCCTTCAGGGATTTTCTACACTTCATGACATATTTTTCTTTGGAATTTGTACAGAGCAATTTGCTCCCATGTATACTTGAGGGATTTACTTATGGAGATATGATGTGGGCGACTTATAGCCCTTCGTATATAATTCTCCATTCATATGAACTTGTTTATAACCTTGCGTCATATCATGTGAGTGTATTTCACGGTATTACAAATGCCCATATGTAACCTTCTAGGTTCAACATCCTTTGGCTATTTGTATTGTATTCAAGTATATAGGTTTATTTTTCCACGTTCTTACAAAATTGTAATGGAATTGCTTTGCTCCATTTTGGCCAATAATTTTGTTGACGGAAAAAGAACGGGACTCAATATCAACACAGCTCATTGATGAATTTAGTATCTACTTGTAAAAACCAAAATTACCATTGGTTATCATCAATATGTGATCCCATATTCTCAAGTGCATGCATATGCATAAATTTTTTTTTTTTTTTTTTCATTTCTTTGGTTATCCCTTGCCTCTTCAAGGGCATTACATTATCTCTTCCAGGATAGTAATAGTTTAGAGAATGCGGATCATAACCTCCTCTTGAGCATTATAGAGCTTGGATTTTAATCTGCACTTCGGGAGTTGAGTATTGGAACCTATACGTCTATCATGCTTCATGCATGAGACATCAACATTCCCATGTCCGTGAATTGTCCTTTCTAGGACTTGTATCCATGCAACGACTGTCATGCTTCCGGCATGTTGCAGTTATGCTTTAGGAATACAATAGTTTAGTAGTGTCATATTCTTCTTCTTTCAAAGGATTGAACATTTTGAGTATGAGGGTTTGCCACGCTTCAGGCGTGCAACAGATAAATCATTTACTGTATCATTATTTTGTCTAACAGGGACATCAATTCTTGTAGACACATTTGCAGCAAGTATATGTGATTTCATCACTTTCGTTGCATCATTAAATGCATCTGGCATTTGATTTGCATATCGTTGCATCATTCAAATATTCTCACTTCGTTTTTTTATTGATTGCTCAATGAATCAAAATAAGACAAATTCTCTTCGTTCTTCTGGAATGGTCTTTTCTCATCATTCTTCTAGAATGATATTTTCTCATCGTTCTTCTGAAACAATGTTATTTTCTCCCCCTAACGGCGGGGAAACTGTCTTATCAAAATCATAGTCTGCAAGCTGCGCGGTAAACATATCCCTAGTCAAGGGTTCCAAATGTTGAATAATAGATGGTGAATCAAATTCAACATAAATTCCCAGTTTGTTTTGATGCCTCATTTTAGTATGTTGTGGCAGTGCAATAGGCACATAGATAACACAACCAAAAACTCATAAATGTGTAATGTTTGGTTAGTGCCCAAACACAAGTTGTATTGAAAAATATTGATGGTTGGCAACATGTCTCAACCGAATTAATATTGCATCATGTAAAATGACATGTCCCCATGTAGAAACTTGGCAATTTCATTTTCATTAGCAGAGCGCGGGTAATCAATTTTATCCGCTTAATAAATACTTTTGCTAAACCATTTTGAGTATGGACATGAGGAACTTCTAATCCTTATTTAATAGTATGTTAACTGAGACTCTTATGGCTTTTATTGCAATTAAGTTGTGGCAGTTTGGCTTTTCAAACTTAAGGTACTCATCAAGGAACTTTATGTCCTGATCTTGAGGATCAAGGGACTTCATGCCCGATCTTTTTGCATGATGGAACTTCAGGTCCAATCATTTTTATATGATGAGGATCAAGAAACTGCAGGTTCTGATCTGATCAAGGAACTTCAAGTCCTGTATATACTCATCGTAACAAAAGATAAGTACAACATGTAAATTAAAGCAATAGGTGGTAATTGCATCCATAGTAAATAAATTGCATTTAAGTAAATAAAACTTGTGACAAGGGCTTTAATTCAACACCATTCACATAAATCAAAACTTAAAGAAGTTGGCGGTAAAACCGTCCATGGTAAATACATTGCTTTAAAGTAAATAGAACGTGTGAAAGTGTTTTAAGCCACACCATTCACATAAATAAATAAATAAATATATATATATTTTTTTTTCTTCTTTCTTTTCAGATGGTGCAACACCATCTAAAAGCCTTTACCCCTTTTTATTATTATTTTTTTTTTCTTCTTATTCAATCACATGTTGCACCATTCCAAAAAACTTTGCCTTTTGTTTTCTTTCACATGGTGCAATGCACCTTTCCAAAGCTTTGGCCCCATTTGAAAGAAAACAAAAGGCAAAGTTTTTGGAGCTTTATGGAGCTTTATGGAGCTTATGGCTGCTGGCATTTCTTTGTGGCTGCTGCCATTTCTTTGCCCTGAACAGAAGCCATCTTACTTAATTATCTCTCAACTTCTTGTACGTAATGGGGAGCTCTGGGGATTTTTCAAGCTTAATTCAGAGGACAGCAACGCCATCAAAAGGCAGCGGCCATGGGCGCTAGGCCAAGTAGCGTAAAACTCAAAGCTAGAATTCCCGTGAGTCCTCGAGATCCATCGAAAGCGATGCGATATGGGTTTCCAAGTCTAACGAGATTCTTCTGGATCTCTGGAAACCAGTTGTCAGGTACGAGTTTTCTTATCTCGTGACGACTACAAGTCATTGTAAATTTCAACTCTCACCGAAATTTGGTGGGGCGCTTCTGGCACGGTGGGAGAGAAGGAATGGACATACCTTTTGTTCTGTGAGATTTTATCTGATGAAGGTGAAAGGTAGATAGTGCTTCATCAGATTTATAGCGTTGTGCTTTCCACTGACATGAGAGCATCTCGTGCTGATAATGTGTTGTAAAATCGATGGTGTGTGCAGTGGAATAAATAAAATAAGACACAAAATTTACAAGGTTCCTCTACAGTCAGTGTGACTGGAGTACGTCATCGGAGTAGTAGTGGTGCTTCTATTATAATTTAGAATAATAAAAGTACAAAATAACTCTTTCTCTATTATCCCCTATCTTCTTCCTCTCTTTTCTCTCTTCCTCTTCCGTGAGCCTTGTGGCTTCTATCCTCATTTGTATCTATCCTCCTTCTTCACCTCTCATTCATTTTATAAGCAAAAGGAACACTATTCACTTTACAAATTTTCCCCAAATGAATAGTGAAAATACTGTGCATAAATAGTAATAGACTATTCATGTGGGCCATTCCACATATTATTCACAACACTTTCTTATTATTACATTGTTTTCATTTTCAGATTTTTGTGTAGTGGGACCACACTCAAACACTCCCCTTCTCCCACATGTCCCTTTCTCAACACTCTCGAACTATTTTGGACTCTCTTTACTTGAGCTCCCTCTCGTTTCTCTTTGTGTAAATGTAGAGCAACCACACCACTAGCACACTCCCCATACCAGCGAACTATGTCATCATCTAAATACCATACTGCTACCCATTTTTCTCTCATTCAGTTATGTTTCTTTCCCTTTCTCGACTTTTTCTTTTTTCTATGCACCAGAAAACACTAACAGTGGTTTCACTGTCGTTTCCGGACGGCAGACCACCAACTTGCACCACCTCGTCCCTTTCCTTGATTTAAACCAGAAAAGCATGAACGAGGCTTCAATCTCGAAGCCATACTGTGGAAACTTAGCCCAATTTCGAGATTCAATTTTTCTGCAAACTTCTCAATTTTTCAACCAAGGTAAGGTTTGGGAACACTCAAATTCCCCTTTTATTGACTTCTTGGTGTAATTTCTGAGTTCCCTATATGATTTAACAAAGATTGGATACAGAGATACCTCAGGGAAACACTCCCTAGTTTTCCGATAGTGGACCCGCAAATTTCAGGAGATTTTCAGGCCATTTCTCAGCCATGGCTTGGCTAATAAAGGTATAATTCTTTTCCTTGTTCTCTGAGCTTCGTTTTGATATAAAGTTTGTATGCTTCAATGGAGTATGGAGGTTGATTGGAGCCGGGATTTTTTTGGCCTTCTTTTTTGCAGCAACTGGCTACCCCACGATCAAATCGAGTTAACCCAACCCGCAACCCAGAACCAGTTCCAAACCTGGATCTGCAAACCAACCCAAAACTGAATCCGACCCAGATTCGACCCGGACCTATTTCTGAATCCAACTAGAATATTCTTTGGAATATTCCGTTAACTTCTAATTAACTTTAATAGAATATTTCGTCCGATGATGGAATATTCTGTTAAAGTTGATTGTTGATCGTTAATTGACTTTTGTTGATTTTTTCCAAATTTCTCTTGGACCCCTTGTAAACACGAAAAATTCCTGAAACAAGAGACAAGAATACGTGTACAAAATATATTTTTGTATTAATGATTTTGGGGTTACAATCTCTTTGTAATTTGATCCTCTGATTCTATCTTCGTAGGGTGTAGGTTTGTGGATGAGTTGTTGATCCAAAGGGCCGTCGGGGCTTGATCTAAGGATGAACAGTTGATGAATGGATCTTCAAGGGGCGTTGGGCTTGATCTTGAAGAATGGGTGTATGAGTTTGTTGAGGTTGTTGATCCAAAGGGCCGTTGGGGCTTGATCTTAGGATGAACGGATGATGAACGATGAACACTTTCCTCAAGGGCCGTCGGGGCTTGATCTTGAGTTGGTGGAAGTTCTTCAAGGGCCGTTGGGGCTTGATCTTGAAGGTTGATGGATGAGCGGATCTTCAAGGGCTTTTGGGCTTAATCTTGAAGAATGATTGGATGTGTGGATTTGTTGAGGTTGTTGATCCAAAGGGCCGTTGGGGCTTGATCTTAGGATGAACGGATGATGAACGATGAACACTTTCCTTAAGGGCCGTCGGGGCTTGATCTTGAGTTGGTGGAAGTTCTTCAAGGGCCGTTGGGGCTTAATCTTGAAGGAGGATTTGACGAAGAACGAAGAGTGCTTTCTTGATCCTTCGGGATTTTCTTGAGAGCTTTAGAGTTTCAAGGCTTGAAGGTTTTGGTGTAATGTAAATTCCTCTTCAATTCTTCCTTTCTTCCCTTCCTTTCTTCATTCCCCCCCAAAATGAATGCCTTGGCTTCCTATTTATAGAATTCCAAAACTTGATTTTTGGATTTAAATAATCAGATGAAATAAATCATTTCTGCCAGGTATTGACACGTGTCATATTTGATGACTTTTCCAATTTATTTCGATTTTTCGTTGAGTCACACGCTACATGTAAAATTTATGTGACACGTGAGCGTTGAAATTTTAATTATTGGTCAACATTCATTTCACCGAAATTTTGATGTCTACAAATGCCCCCTCTTCAAGGCGCGTCGTAGACATGTGCTTGTCACGTGTAGAAGATGCGTTTTGAAGTCTCTTAATGTAGATGTCAACCCAAGGGCCGTCGAGGCTTGATCTTGAATTGGGCTGGAAATTTCTTCAAGGGCCATCGAGGCTTGATCTTGAGTTCGACTGGAAGATTTTCTGGTTTCCTCCAATCGTTGATTTTCCGCAGGCTTACTCTTGAACTGGGTGCAGGATTCTTTTGGTCTCCTCCACTCGTTGATTTTCCTTTGTGCTACTCTTGAACTGGGCAGCAGGATTCTTTTGGTCTCCCCCGAAGGTCTGAGCTTACTCCTTTTTTCTGTTTCTTTGTTCAATCTTTCTAATTCGTACTGAAGAGTACGAAATAGAAAGATTGATTTTTCATTGTCACTCGTCTTTCTCCGAGCAGATGTGGTCCCTTCTCTGGAAGTGTATCAACCTTTGAAGATGACTACTCGAGAGCAACGCTAGGTAAGCAACCAGGGAATAGATTCCAGGTAGTCGGTTCAAGATCGGAAGACTGACTCCATGTGCCGGCTGATTGCTCACTTCACTTTGCCATGCGAGTAATAACAATGACAAAGGAAAGGATAGGGAAAAAGCATGATATGAGATACCTTTGCTTTTGAAGAAGCAGCGAATGAATCAGCACATATATTTGTTGTGCTTGTCTCCACATGCTTCGATGTATCATTTTCACTTGCCTTACTTGCTCCCCTTTGCAGAAGTGGTATTTCCTTATACAGGTTTAGCATCTTCTCTTGTAGTATTTGTTCCTGATGCAGGAGTTGAATGCAAACCTTGCATTTGAATGGACCATCACTTCTTGGTGGCAGCGCAAGTTTGAGTGGAGGTTCCGACATATTGCTTTCGCTGTCCTTGTCTTGGCCGGTGAGAACAAGGGCAAAGGAAAAGATAGGGGAAAAGCATGATATGAGATACCTTTGCTTTTGCCCTTGATGATATGAGATACTTTTGCCTTGGTGTCATTTGTTTACAAGGGCATTCCTGGAGAGGAAGAAAACTGAGCATTTTGAGATGCTTTGCTGGGAGTGTACTTTCGGAGGTGAGGAAGAGTTGGGCATTTTTTTTTTGTTTGCAGGTCTGCCTTGCCATAAAAGATGAAGGTCGACATATATAGGGATTTCCCAATAGCAAGTGGTAGTACTGTTCCTTTACCATTGTCGACAACTGTTGGGTAATTGAAACAGTAAGATTCACGCGTTCTCAACTTTGTCAGAAATCTTTGACAAAGTTGCCCGTGATTTCTGCAAAGCTGAGGTTGCGTGTGGAAGACAAATCCGGAAAAGCCGATCTTTTGAAATTCGGAGAGCAGTGCCTCTTCGATCTCTGAACAAGTGACCTTGTTGCCTCTTCGATTTCTGAACAAGCGGCTCGGCTTTTGGAGAGGTGCCTCTTTGATTTCTGAACAGGCCCTGTTGCCTTTTCTTTTTATAGAGGCATTAATCGTGTGGTAGTTGGGATAATGACCTCCACGCGTTTTCAACTTTGTCAGAGATCTTTGACAAAGTTGCACGTGTTATCTGGCCGAGATTGCGGCTTTATCACCCACGCCTGTCGACAACCTCCGCGCGTCTTCAACTTTGTCAGAGATCTTTTGACAAAGTTGAACGCTTTATCTAGAAAGCCGCGAGACCTCCACGCGTCTTCAACTTTGTCATAGATCTTTTGACAAAGTTGAACGCTTTATCTGGAAAGCCTGAGATTGTGTCTGAAGAGTTGGCCGTTCTTTACGCAGGAAAATCCGGCTTTGAAGAGTGGTGTCTCTTCAATTCTGAATCGGTGATTGTGTCGCCTCTCCTTTTATAGAGGTGATCGATCATCTCTAACATGCACACTTTGAAGATTGCCCATTTGTGAACATCGTCTCCAGCCCGTTGAGATTTTACTCCATCCAACCCTTCTCTTTTAACTTCTTGAAAAATGGCTAACCCATCTAACCCATCTAACATTTGCTTAGATTTGAGTCTTAGTAGTGATCCGGTTGCGCCGCGTCAGGGTAATGTATGGTGCCCGTCTTTTTTATCTCCTAATGGCCCTCTTACAGGTGAAGACTCCGTGATGACGGATGCAACAACAGCTACGATAGTAGCTCGGAACCTCCTCACTCCTAAAGATAGTCAGCTGCTTTCCGGACGGTCCGATGAGTTGGCCGTTCAAGAGTCCCTAGCTCTCAGTGTTCAGTGCGCGGGCTCTGTGTCCAACATGGGCCAACGCCTACTTGCTCGATCCCGTCAGGTTGAATCATTGATGGCAGAGGTGGAAAATCTTAAGCAAGAGATCAAACAGCTTAAGCACGAGAATAGAAGTTTGCACGTGCTTGCCAATAATTATTCGACAGGCATGAAGATGAAGCTTGATGAGATGCTAGAATCTCAAGGTCAAATTCAAAGTGACCGTCAAAGGCTTGCGTCTTTCTTCCAGAGGCACCTTTTTCCTGCGTTATCTAGCGTTCCACCAAGTATTGGGGCCTCGAATGATCTATCTTCGATGCCTCCCGCTCCTATGCCTCTCGCTCCGATGCCTTCTGCTCCGATGCCTCCTGCTCCTAGAGTGTTGCCACGTAGTGGGGCTTCACGTAAACAACCTTTGTGAAGGCTCCATCTTTCTCTTTCTTTGTTAGATACATTTTTTTTTTTTTTCCGCACTTGTAATTTCTCGAAAATCAATGAACATGCTTTGTTTTATTTAGTGTATTATGCTAAATACAGATAAAACATATACATCACCGTCCATCATCATTTTTTTTTTTATTCTTTTCTTTGCTTTCGGTGGCGCTGATCCATCATTCATTTATATATATATATTTCAGATGGTGCCAGAAGCACCACCATTGGTTTTTTCTTTCTTTTTATTATATATATATTTTTTTTCTTTTTGCACATGGTTCCAGAAGCACCATCATTGTTTTTATTATATTTTTTTTTTCTTTTTAATTTTTTACCTTCTTTTCAAAATGGGCTGGATTCCACCGTTATCTTTCTTTATAATTTTTTTTTATGTCTTCCACCGTGAAAGACTTGATAATTCTTTTTTTTTTTTTATTATTATTTTTTTTTTACATGGTGCCGTCCACCATCATTTTTTTTTTTGCATGGTGCTGTCCACCAAGATTCCATCATTTTTTTCTTTTATATGGTGATCTGCAAGGCTGAGTTTGTGGGTGAAAACCCAGGCCGAGTCCGAGAGAAGACGGAGGAGGTCTTTGGTGTGAGTTGACAAACTTTGATTTTGTTGATCACATTTAAAGGCAGCAGCCATGGTGGAGGTCAATGATCGAAGGGAGGCTAAAGAGCTGAGAACTTCATCCGTGAGTCCAATGACTGCAGCCTACTCCCTCTTCTCAGCCAACAATAGCAGAAGGGAGTCCCCAGGGATCTAAGACGTGGCGAACCGACACTAACCCAAGTCACAACCTTCAAGTCAAGTAACCGAGCTTGAAGATGGAAAGCATGAATCCTCTTGTGTAACATCAACAACCTCTACAAGGTCTTCGACCTTCGAAGCACAGAAACTGCGCAAGCATTGCACAGCCACTACACACCCGTTATACTGCCTATTGTCGATGTTGAGCTTGAAGTGGAGGAGTTGCAGCAAATGGTGGCGATCCTCGTCGGTCTCGCGGGGGCCAGTAGTCGAGTACACTGAGGGACAAACTTCCAATCCCAGCCAGGAAGAACCTCTCCCAGAGGCTAAGGTCCATCTGTCCCGGCGGGGCAGTCAGTGCATAACCCACTGTATCACCACAATCCAACTTCATCTTGGACAGGCGAAGATAGCCTGCGAGGCAGCTCAACCCGAATTCTCGCTGTGTGGGTCTGTGCTTTCCCCTGCAATCCCCTTCAACCCGAATGTGAATCTCCTCCAGATTGGGACAATCATTGAGACCCACCGACGGCAATGGAGTCAGCAGCTCACCGACCCCAACCCAAAGCGAAAGGTAATGCAGCCTCTCGCAATCTCAATCAGCCCCATGTCCGTCAAATCG